CGGGCGAGGGCGGCAGCGCTGGCGGAGCAGCGGCGCCCGGCGCGGAGAGCAGCTGGTGTTCGCTGTAACAAACAACTTGCCACTCAAACGCCGGCCCGCTGAGCATGCGCGGCCGCGGCGGGGCGTGCCGGGACTTGTAGTCGTTTGCGGTCCGGGCGCCGCTGGCTGCTGATGTCAGGGGCTGGGCGGCCGCGCAGGGGCCGGCTCGGTGCACGCGAAACGCTGGAACGCCGGTCCCGTAGGGATACCGGGGCGGGGGTGGGAGGCCGAGAGCAGGAGAGGGGGCGTTTCCGGGCAGCCCGAGCCGAGGTGCAGGCTCTGTCCCTCAGAACTCGGGACTAGGCACTTTGGGGTGTAAAGCGAGCCGTCAATACAGTCCTGCAGGAGGCCCGAGTCTGGGGTGGGAGAGACGTAGAGATACCGGTAATTTTAGTGCCGAGAAACCAAATAGAGGAGGGTGCTGGGGACAGAGATGAGGCCGAGGGGGTCAAGGGTTTTCTAGGGGAGGGGACATCCCGGCTGGGTTCTGAAGGAGAAATGGGAGATGGCCCGGTGAAGGGGGGCAGGGCCGCGCGAGGATGGAGACAAGGGGCCTTCCAGGCAGAAGGAACAGCGTGTCCAAAGGCACAGAAGCGTGAAAGCCCCCACGGTGCTGTGTTTGGCTTTGTTGGAGCGGAAAATGTGAGGGAGGAGAGGCAAGAGATAAGGCAGGCGCGGTAACCGGGAGTCGGGTCAAGAAGGGTCATGTGTGCAGAGCTAGTGAGGTGGCCGGTGATCCCTGGGAGAGGGGGTACTGGGGGCTGAATGAATTAGGGGGAAGCCTTCAATACATCAGAAGGGCTTTCACTCCTGGACCAATGTGTCAGTGACCATGTTCGCCAGCGTTCAGGTTCCTTCTTAATGACTGATTGGCTGTGAAAATTTCTAGGTTATTGGTGCCTTGCCCTTTGACAGAGTAATTTGGGGACGAGACGGGTCAGATCTACCTGCTGGGACAGGCTGGGAACTTTGTTTTTGAGGAAAATGTTAGGTAAGAATAGCTTAGGTTGTCTCTTTCCATAAAGGGGTGTGGAGCCTACAATCCGGTATCTCTTAGAGCATGCCCGTGGCTTTCCCATCTTACTTTCCCCAAAGAATTCATCACCCTCTAATAATGTTTTTACTATTGTTTTTTGCTTCTCTGTTTCTTGAATCTCAACTCCATGAAGGCAGTTATTTTTTTGCAGTTCTCTATGACTGGCTTGTGAGACATGCTGTATGGAAAGCATACTTGCATAGGTCTATTCCTTTAGAATCTAGAGATCTAGAAGGCCCAAACAGAAATGCATCCCAGAGCCAGGCAAGTAACATAGATGTGTGAAGCAGCTGGGTATCAAATAGCCAGAAATGGTATTGGAGAAGGGAGGCCTGCCTGCAGGCATAAAACTCAGTGTATAAAAAATGATCAACAGGTGAAATCAAATAAACAAGGTTAATGACAAGTTTCAGCCAGTTTTCTGACTTCTGCTCTAGATGACCTAAGACAGTATTTTTCAGTCTGCTGGCCATGGTCCATGAAACTAATTTAGCGGGGCATGACTAGCTTTAACATTTTTTTTTTTAATAGAAAATGGCACAGAGCTTGCCTATAGTAAGAGCAAGATACTATTATCTGTTCTGTGTCTCAGGAAACTTTCGTCTTGGGTCATGCTTGTACATGTGTGCAGCATGTATGTGGACACATGAGTGTGCATGCATGCACTGGGTCTTGATATAAATGTCTTCTGTGGGTTTTGGTTAAAAACATTTGAAAACACTGTGTGCTTTCTATTTAATGAAGCCAGACCCGTAGAAAGTGTCCTGTTTGACTTGCAGAATGGCTTTCGTTAAGTTCTATTTGGTGCTTAAGATTTTAATGAAACTGCCTACTGAAATCAATGTTGGAATTTTAGAGAATGTGACTTCTGGGGTGCTAAACCCAGGGGCTGGGTTCAGCCTGGGACTAGAATGAGGAAAATGAGACACCTCAGGTACTGAATTTAAAGAGGCTTTCACTCTCCAGCCGTGCATGTGTTAGTGGACACTTTCCCAGAGGAATTCCCTCCCCACTTGATTCCTTAGCACTGCAATCCTCTGGTCCCTTGGGTTCCTCTGGGCCTCCTCTATGGTTTCTTCTCTGCTCAGACCCAAGGGGAGTGAAGCCTACTTGCTGTTTCCCCCTATATTTACTATTTCTTCAGTGAATGGCTGCTAGTGAATTCTCCTAAGGTAGCCTCTCACTTTGACTTTGGATTTGGTCATGAAACTTTCTCTGACCAATGAGGTATTATCAAGCGTCCTTGGTAAGGAACTTGCTCTCTTGGAACACTGCCCTGAGACCATCAGGCCGTAAAGAAGCCCATGTGAAAAACTACCTGGAGAGAGTGCAAATGTTCCAGCTGTTCCAGCTGAGCCTTGTCTCTTGACAACAGCAGACCCCAGCTCTCAGAGCTGTGAATGCACCCATCTTGGATCTTTCAGCTCACTGTCCAGCTGAATGCAGGCACATGAGCGAGAAACTACTTAACCTACACAAACATGGAAAGTTCTAAATCATTGTTTTTAGCCATTAAGATTTGGAGTGGTTTATTATGCAGCAATACATTAAGCAGGCTTGTTCCTCAACCTTCATCTTCTCTCACTCTTTATGGGTGTATCTAGTCGCTGGCTTCCATATGGATAGTTCCAGCTCAGAACATGTTCTGATTCGCACCTATAATTCATATTGCTTGACTTGGCCAATCCAACCTGTTCAAACCTTACCTCATCATCTAAGGCACCTCAGACCTTCTCCTCTTCCTTCTGCAATCCAAGTCTTGGTTAATGACACCATCCCAGAACCCTCAAGTTACCAATCCGGGTTGTATGACACATTGTATTTTCCAAGACAGCCACAGCAAGATCTTCTATTCTATTCTGTGTGCTCATCTCACAATATGACATTGACAATTATCCTGTTAGGAGGTAGGTCCTTGTTCCCTCATCTGAGCAGGCTGTGACTAAAGGGGAAAGAAAGATATCGTATGACTTTCAAAACCAGCTCAAAACAGGTGATACCGCTTCCACTGGTTCTTCTGTGACAAGCACCGTTGGACACCATCAGCCGTGCTGAGAGGGGGCCTGGGCCAAATGAGACCACAGTGAGGCTCACAGACCACAGAGAGGCTCTTGCATTGGTTTGCTAGGATTGTGTTACAAAGAGCTGACAACTAGGGGGCTTAAAAGAAATTCATTGTCTCACAATTGGGGCCTAGAAGTCTGAGATCAAGGTGTTGGTAGGGTTGGTTTCTCCCGAGGCCTTCTTTCCCTGGCTTATAGATGATGGGCTTCCCTCTGTATTTTTGCATGGTCTTCTCTCTGAGCCCTAGTCTCTTCTCACAAGGGCACCAGTCCTATTGAATTAAAGTCCATCCTAATGACCTCAGTCTCATTTACTTTCCTCTTTAAAGACCCTCCAAATAGTCCCATTCTGAGGTACTGGGATTAGGCTTCAACATATGAATTTTGGAGGCAATGGACACAATTAGTCCATAACAGTACTCCCTACAGCCCCAGGTGAAGTTCCAGCTGACAGCCAGCCTCACCACCACCGAGGAAGTTGGTGAGAGAGCCTTCAAGATGACTCCCGACCTAGGCTTCCTCTGGTACGGATTCATGAGAGACTGAGCAAGAACCATTCTGCTGAGCCCACTCAGCCTTTAGAACCATGAGAGAGAATAAAAATTAGGCATTTCAATAGGTAACCAGAACAGCATAGAGTCAACCTGGTGGTGGTGGGTGTAGAGGTTCAGGGGAGACTGACAGGGAATCGTACTTGCTTCCCCTCCCCCAGTCCCAAGGTTAGCCAATTGCCAAGTAAGTCCTAGTGACTTTATGTGCTGCATGCATCTGTAATCCACTTCTGTCCCCATCTTGATCACCACAGGCCCTAGATGGTCACAGTAGCCTGTTAACACCTGTTCCATCCTCTCCGTGTTGCCAGGATAGTTTCTAATCTGTGGCTCCACCCCCATAATGCCTCTGCTTGGTGCCCTTTAGGGGTCACAAGGAAACCACAGCTCTCTTAAGAAAACCCCGGAGAAAGTGCTGTTGTAATCTCACATTGATTACTGTGAAATTCAGGCTAAATCTGTGTCCCTTAGTATCTGCAAAACTGCTCGTGTTATATTCAAAGGCGAACATAACAAAATTAAAAAAAAAAATCCCAGTTATGTATGTGATGAATGCTAAAAAGGCAAAATTGAAAGGAAATATCTAATAAGATAAGAAGCAAGAGTGGGGGGGGGAGGAAAAAGAAAAGCCAGCCCAGATCCCCTGCTGTTGGGCTTACGTGAAGGCGAGGGGCTTCCTGGTCCCAGAGCCCGACGCTCTGACAGGGAAACCACTAGTCACACCTGCTGTTGGGCACTTGAAAAGTAGCTGGTGCCGTGAAAAGCTGAAGTTTTAATTTTACTTCATTTTAATAAGTTGCAATTTAATCTTAAAAATTGTTGCTAGGGCCCTTCCTGTTGCTAGGGCACAGTGGGTTAAAGCACAGCACTAAGCAGCTAAAGCCACCTCAGCATGAGTTCGAACCCCAGCCCCTGAGCTGACCTCTCCTGACCCGCCTGCTCCTCCCCTCAGCAGTGCACTGTGTCAGTCTGCCTGCTCTGCTCCCCACTCTGTCTCTGGTGAATCCTCTCACTGCCCCTGCACCTCTGTCCTGTACCCCAGTTCTGTATGCATAAATAAATAAATATTAAAAAAAACATACTGGTAACTTAGAAAAGGAGATAGCAATGTGGGAAAAAAGAAAGAAAAATTTATGCAACATCAG